GGAGGAGAGCCGGTGGGCAGCGGGCACCCCCACTCCTGCCAGGACCCTCTGCCTGCAGACGGTGGCCCCAAAGTCTGGGGCATCGACACAGCCACACCCCGGGGTTGAACCCTGCAGTGTGTCAGCTCGTGGACGTCAGCCCACAACGTTCCCGGAAATGACCTAATCTTTCTCAGTCTCTCAGGGGCACCGGTGGCCACCCTCCTCCTCTAAGAAACATCCAACCGAAACAGAGCACCAACAGTCCAATGTACACATCACAAATGCACAGGCACGTCAGCCAGAGCAAGGGAAAGACTCTCGGGTCAGGTATGGACACTCCAGGACCCCAGAAGTGGCCCTCCAGACCCCCACTCATTACACTGTCCCCATCCAAGGAAAACCATCTGGCTTCTAACTCTGCCTGTTAGTTTGGCCCAGTTTCGACCTCCGTCCTCTTCAGTCTTGCTCCTTGGGCTCAGCACGTGTCCAAGCTGCCACCGGGCCTTGCTGGCCACAGAGCAAGGAGTGTCTTCCACTTACGGACTTGGCACAAGTGCCTGTCCATCCTGCTGCATGTCCCACGGTGCCGAGTGCTTCCATGACACGTGTGTGCGTTCCTACAGGGTACACACCTCGGGTGGAGCTGCAAGGTCACAGGTAGGAAGATGACACCCTCTGGCCAATATCACCAGGGTTCCCATCAAGTGAGCGAGATCTCTGGGTGCCCTGTGGCCTCGCTGACACGTGGCATTCCCCCGCACTTCTATCTGCATTTTTAGCTGTTTTGGCAGCTGTGAGGTGTGCAGTGATGAGGCGTGGTGGTTCACCCTGCCTTGTGATGTTCACCCTTGTGTGTTTTTGAATTGAGTTGCCTGCCTGTTCCTATTGATTTGTAGGAGATCTTTATATATCACGGACATAACTGTTTTCAGAGATGTGTTGTGCAAACGCCTTCTCTCACTGTGGGGTGTCTCTTCATTCTCTTATGGGTGTACAGATTTTACAAAGTCAAGTCTACCATCTCTTTCTAGTCAGTACATTTTCATCTGTGTAAGGAATGTCTGCTCACCATGTAGATGTGAAGACAGCCTCCCATAGTGGCTTCTAGAAGCTTCGTTGCCTTTCCAATCACAATATGGGTCAAGGATCCAGTGAAGTGACCTGTGGGTGGGCTAGCTGAGGTAAAGAGTCTGCTGGGAGCGGCAGTGTTGTGCCCCAGCCCTCAGCGCCCCCAGCCACGCGGCCGGCACCGGGCCTGGGCCAGGTCCTCACTGAGTCTCCAACTGCTACACTTTCGTCTTTGTTCAGTTCAAGATGATTTCTAATTTCCACTGCGGTTTCTTCTTTGATCCGTGGGTTATTTCAAATTGTGTTCTTTAAATTCTCAGCCCCCCAGTGACTTCTTTGTTAGCAGATTCTCCTTTAATTGCACTCTGGTTAGAGAACACACTCAACCCTTTAGAATCTGCTGAGACTGGCTTTAATGTCCGGTGTACACATACGTGCGCTTGAAAGGAACACACGGTCTCTCGCGGTGGAACAGTGTCATAAATACCAATTAGGTCAGGTTATTATTTGAATCTCTCATAACCTCGCTGAATCTTTCTGGTCTATTTTATTACTCACTTAGGGAAGTGTGTCCCAATTCCCAACTGTGATTGTAGATTTACGAGTTTTCCCTTTTACTACTGTCAGTTTTGCTTTGTATTTATATTATTTGATGCTCAATTATTACGCACATACAGTTACACGTAAATTTAGACGCCTTTTGTCCCTGCACAACGCACCTCCGTGTCGCCACCACCCCCTCCACGTACCGCCTACCTATTCAGATGCTGATACGGCCATGCCCGTTTTCTTTTGCTTTATGGTTGCGTAATGTATCTTTCTTCCATCCTTTTACTTTCAGCACTTTTCTAGATTCACATTTCAGGTTCACCTCTTGTAAGCACTACATAGTATTTTCCTTCTAACCGAGGCTGACAGTCTGCTCCCTGTAGCTGGAGGGATTCGCTCGTTTTAACTCAACGTAAGTAGTGTTAAGTCCACCATCTCACAACTTGTTGCCTATTTTTCCTGTTTTTTGCTTATTTCTCTTTTGTTGCTTTTAAATTAATCCAGGTTTGTTCTATTCCGCATGTTCCCCTCTGTTAACTCATTTTACAGGGACGCTCTTGTGCCCTCAGCGTCGCCCACAGCGTAACACGCAGCCTTGCTTTACTGCAGTTTATCTTAAGTTAGTTCTTTCTGTCACTTCTCTGATGATCTAGGGACATTTCAACACGTCAACACCATCGACCTTCCTCATCAAGCCCGCGCTAGAGCCTTGAGGGAAAAACGCCAATTTCCTCAAAGGTCATTTGTCAAGGTGACGTCCTCAGACAGAGGCCCCTGTCCTTGGTACCCCCTGCTCTTCCCTGCAGCCCAGTGGCACCGGACTCTATGCTGTCCCCGAACAGCCACTGACCATGGTCAACCTCAGTACCCACCTGCCGTCTGCCACCCCTCTGTGCCGTGGGAAGCAGGGCTCTGGACTTCTCTGCAATTTTCTGTTGGACAAAGTACAAGAAGAGGGAGAGAGGAAGAACAGAAAAGGTGAGGAAGAGAGCAGCAGCGTCAGATAAACACGACGTACTGGACCACGGCCGACGGCAGAGCACAGCTCCAGCCCCAAGAAGAGAGCCGCCCCACGTGTCAGGAAAGCTGGGAGCCGGGCCGGGCTCGGCAGGCGCTCTGCTAGACGGCCTCCTCCACACACCCGGGCTCTCTGGGGCTGTTTCCTCACCTGTCAGGACGAGGGATACCTGCTGTCCCCCCTCCCAAGAGGCCGTCGCAAGGACTGTCCTGGGCCGTGCTCCAGAAGTCAAAGAGCCCTCGCTGCATGCGCCGCGGCCGCACCAGCGGGACCCCGGCGGCTGCTATGCGTCTGCAGGGCTGCCCGTCCTCTGCTTCAGGGGATGGGACCATGCCAGGCTGACCGAGCGAGTGCTCAGGGGACCAAGCCCACCCCACCTGCCCGGCAACCTCACCTGCAGGTGCCTCACCTTCTGCACCACTCCATAGCGCTGGACGGCATCTAAGAGCTGAGTTTTCAGGCAGTCCAGCTGCAGGCGCTCCTGCTGCAGAGAGAGGACGGCTTCCACAGGTCTGAGGCCTCGTCCTGCCTCTGCAGCCCCTCTGTCCTCGGGCACTTCAGTCCCTACACTCCTGCGCCCTCCTGCCACTCCTGGCAGCGCCCGCCCCACAGCCCCCGGTCCACCCACCACCAGTCCCACGGCCATCATCACCCCCACATTAGAACCGGGCCCGTCCATGTCTACTGCACCTGCTTCATCCCCTCAAACACCAGCAGGGCTCCGTGAGCACAGACAGCATCGCCCGACGCCAGCCCCGCCCAGCCCCAACACGCAGTCAGCACTGACCGCGGAGCCAGCCGCCCTGGCACAGCATGCCTGTGTGGTCTCCAGTACGACTCAGGTGAGTTCGGAGCCCCTCTGACAGCTCAGGAGATCCTGGGCCCGAGTTCTCAGAGGCCTGTTCCAGTCCACACAGGTGGTGGAGCCAGGCCGCTGGCCCCAGAGCACATGTGCCCAACCACACACGAGGCTGCATCTTGTCCCCGGCATCAGAGCTGCAGTCACCAAGCCGTCCATCAAGCCAGCACCAGCCCCTTGGCTCCCCTCCGTGACCACTGTCCTCCGGCTGGAATGGTACCTCGTCCCCTGTTGGTCTCTGCACCCCACTGTCCAGAATGATGCCTGCACAGAGCCGGCACTCAAGACATACTGTCAAACCAGGGGACGGACAAGCAGGCCCTGGACCCTGGCACCACCCGCTCAGGTGCGTGTGAGCACCACCGGCCATCAGGAGCCCTAAGCCCTCCTCTCTCACCTCGCAGCCTGGCACCGACAGACCACGCCTGTCCCAGTGTCCTTGGACCAGGACGCAGACATGGGCTCCCAGTCCCCTCCTGCCCCCAGCACTTCCCGCCAGCTCCCGGGAGGGCCCCGGCCTCTTCCCAGACCCTGCGTTTCAAGTCACAAAACCCACCCCTCACTGCCACCGTGCACCCCGTGCAAGCCCATGGGTGAGGGCGAGCTGCAGGTGCACCGGTGGGCCGGCCGCGTCTCAGCAAGACCGGCTCTCCAACACAGGCCCCTCAGGCGCACTGGGCAGCACCTGGGCCTCCCAGTCCCTGTGTGGCTGCAGCTCTGTGGCACCTGCTTCAGTGTCCAGGTGAGGCTCTTGTAATTAGCACCATACGTATGCCCCAGGACAGACCTAAGAGCCCAGGGAGTTATTTAGTGCTTTATGGCAGAACCCCTCTAGCTCCAGCTCCAGCCCACATGGTCCACCCTCAGCTCCAGGTGATGGCACAGCCTCACCTCCCTGAGAGAGCAGTGACCCCTTGGCAGTCCGCCCGGACAGCACGTCCTCCCACGGGACTATGAGAGCCGTAATGGGGGACCTCATCTGTATCCCTCTCCCAGCATCTGGCAGAGCAGGTGTTCAGTAAATGTTTGTTGGGTTCTTAGATGATGGATGGGTGGGTAAGTCAGCAGACAGGCAGGTAAGTGGATGGATGGACGGACAGACGAACAAACAGCGAGCTGGTGGATGGGAGGACTGAAAGAAGGAAGGATGTATTCTGCTTTTATAAAAGGGATCCCTCTGAATTCCCAAGGGGCTCAACTCTGCTTTCCTGCCCTGGTGACATACAGCTCTGGACCCAGAAAGACCAGAGCTCAAATCTAGTGCCTCCGCCCTGCCCTCCGTGATGCCTCAGGCAGGCATAAGTGCAAGAATAAAGCACAAAGCCACAGACAAAAAGGTCCCCGAACGCCAAGGCCACGGAACCGCGGCAGACGCTGCCCGGTGCGGTGTGACCCTGGGTGAAAGGCCAGGCCAGGCAGCTGCCTCTGGTCCCACACCCAAGCCATGATGGTTAAATCGCGGGCATGTGGAGCAGCGGAGGGGTCTCAGGCCGGCCGGACGGAGGCACTCCTGTCCAGGAGGGCTGGGAGCCCACAGCACCCACACCACTGCCTGGCCTGTGACACTGCCCAGTGGACGGCTGAACACGCAACCTCTGCCCCAAGCAGCCACGTGGGCCATCCTTTCCCCACGCTGCACCGCCCCCTGGCGCCCCCCCCACCCCCGCCACCGCCCCAGTCCCCAGGGAACATACCCGGGAGCAGCCCCGCAGGAGCTCGGCCATCTGCTTCAGGGCGCTGGTGCTGGCTGCAACGGTTTGGTTGGTCTCCTGCTGTGCCGCATGCCTGGGGCAGGCGTGCGGGGCGGAGGGGAGAGAAGGTGGGGGGGTGGGGTTGGTGGGAGCAGCAGAGCGGGCACGGGTGTGCGAAGAGGACACGGGAGAGGGAAGCCAGCAGGAAGGAAGAAGCAGGCAGAGGAAAGAGGGCCAGATGGGAGTAAGGACACACAGGCAGGCCCAGGGAGGGAGACAGGAGAGGATGCAGGGGTGGGCGGGTGAGGCAGGAGGGAGGGAAGTGCACAGTGAGCTCGAGTCCCTGTCACCACACCCCTCACCCTGTGGACCCCACGGACCCACACACAAGCCATGGGGTTGGCACCTGCACCACCGGCGCCCAGCCCTGAGCCCTCCCGCAGAGGCCCCAGGGGGCAGCACCAGTCAGGCCCAGGGAGCAGGGTGGCCGCAGAGATGGCCCTGGGACCACCGCTGAGGAAACCTTAGCCTGCTGGGCAGGCCTCTGGGGCTGCGGGTGAGACGCCCATCTCCAGACCCAGGCTGGGGGTCTCTCCCAGCACCCTGCTGGTGTGAGGTTGACTGCCGCCCCTGTGGACAGAGTGGTGGGGGACAACCCTGCCCTCAGGCCTCCTGTGGGCTCACACGGCCAAGCCAGGGAAGGACCCTGGCCTGGCTCCAGGCTGCAGACACCAGGGAACCTCCTGGCCTTCCAGCTGCAGCTCAGATGCCCCTCTTTACTCCCCGCAGGACCCCCACACAGCAGCAGAGGGGGTGGGCACCGGGCTGGCCTGGGCTGAACGTGGGAAGCTCCTGAGAGCTTATGAATCACGTGTCAATAAATTTGACAACTAAGATGAAACAGAGAAATTCCTTGAAAGACAAGAATGATCAAAACTGACTCAAGAAGAAACAGAAAACCTAAATAGCTCTGTATCTATTGACGGGATTAAATTTGTTCTTAAAAACGTTCCCAAAATACAGATGACTTCACTATCAAATATTTAAAGAAGCAGTAACATCGATACCACACAAACTCCTCCAGAAAACAGACAAGAAGGGACACTTCCATTTCACAGCCAGCATCACCCTGACACCAAAATCTAACTGAAGAACCTGAAAGAAAAGAGCAGCACAGGTCGCCCAGGAGCGCAGCGCAAGGCCCCTAACAGGGCGTTAGGGGTGCAAGTCCAACCGCCCACAACCAGGGTAACATCCTGCGACCAAGAGGCGTTCCTCCGAGGAAGGCAAGGCTGGTCTGACATCCAAACACCAGTGACTGCAATCCTCGTGTTAACAGAACAGATTGGAAAGGGGGGAATCACCTCAATAAAACCACGCAGAAAAAGCATCCGGCCAAACTCAACGCCCACTCGTGCAAAAGCTAAGAAACTGGGAGAGAAAAGGGAGACGATCAGCTGGAGGGGAAGAGCCTGTGAGGCCCGCCCAGCCCGGGCCCTGCGGGGCGCCCAGCGTCCTGCCTCCACGCCGCGCTGTACGGGTT